AAAGTTAGTGAAGAAAGATTGTTATATCTCACCGTGGAGTTATCGAGTTCTTGTATAAGAGATCAAAGATATTGTTACAGGTTAAGTCTTCTGCATTTACATTTTGTTAAGCGAGATTTTCTTCCACATTACATCCCATCCAATCTGGCGTGCTACTCATAGTTTATCAATGTTGTAGAGTTTGAGATGTTGCTCCAGGTTGTCCAATTTTTTTAATGGGGTGATACAAATGGTGATACAAATGGGGTGATACAAAATAAAAATGATCCTCCAAATTCCAGTAGGCGGGGGTCACACCCACCAACTGGCCTCCTGGAGCCGTGTAATCCCATCAACGGCCAAGACTCAGAGACTATAAAAACCAGCGGCCCGATGCCTATTATGACATCTTATTATCTCATTCCTACTTTGGACAAACTGGCAGGTTACCAAATGTAGCCTGCCCACAGGGCAGAGTCTGGCAAACTCCCCGTGGCATACCCAATATGCCAAATACCAGTAACAATGATGGGTCTCATTCTCCTAAAGAGCCTTGAATATAATCTCAGGGCTAGGATGAAGGAGACGTTACTGGGGCCTGCTCGAGGCAATCGACGATTAACAGGATGATTTGTGATTGATTGTGATTTGTGATACAAATGGAGTTAAATTTTTAACTGGGTGGCAGCCTTGGGGCATGTGTGTGACTGCTGGGACTTCCTGAAGTACGTGGGGGCTGGTGGGGGGAGGTGAGGCAGACCATTACCGACTCTGTGAAAGCCTGGAGATTTCAGTCACAAAACCTGCATACCTGAGATTAATTTCTGGGTGAGGTTCATCCTGAGCAGCGGAGTTCGGCCGTGGGCATGGTGGCGATGATGGAGTATGGAGGTTTTTGACTGCCCATGCTCTGTTTGGGCAGGTGCTGGGCTCACAGCCCTCCGGGGTGCTCCGGATTACTCAGCCTTTTGCAGAAGAATTTCTGCAGTTGGTTGATCTCTTTCAAGACTTATTTGAGTCTCTGGATCATGGCTGGTGAATGAGCTTACATGGTGCTGGAGGTGGTTCATGGACACGACTGCCGGAGCTTCCAGAAGTACGGGGAGATTGGGGGAGGTAGCCCATCCCCAACTCCATGAAAGCCTGGAGATTTTAGTCAAAAACCCCGCATACTTGAGTTTTTCAGCAGGTTAATCCTGGCTCTGCACTCAGGAGTTACTCCTGGCGGTGCTCAGGGGACCATATGGGATGCTGGGAATCGAACCCTGGGTCTGCCGCGTGCAAGGCAGACGCCCTGCCCAGTCTGCTATCTCTCCAGCCCCAGCAGGTTAATTTCTTGATGAGGCTTGTCCCGAACAGTGGAGTCCAGCCAGGGCTGAGTGCAATCTTGTATGCAGAGAGCTGGGATCCATCCCCTGTACTCTGTGGTCTCTTGAGAATCACTGAGACCAAGCCTCTGAACACCAAGCAGGAAGTAGCCTCTGAAACTCCCGGGTGTGACCCCCAAATACAAAAAGTAAAAAAAAAAAAACATTCTTCCCTTAACAATTCCTTAGAGTCGATGGGAACTTCTTTGGGTTTTTGTTTGTTTATGTGGTGATGGCTTTTGGGGGCCACACTCAGTAGTAGAGTTGCACCCGATGCACTGAGTCTGGACTGGACTCAGCAGACCCTGTGGTGCTAGAGTTGGAAGTCTGCGCATTTGACATTGTTCTTGCCACATGGTGTTTGGATTTTTTGGGTTGTGACATATATGATATGTGAATTTGAAACTTATTCTTTTGGATCCTCCCAAGACTTGGAGTATTTTTATGCATCATTCTCCATAGCGACCATCCCTCTTAGGGATGGGCTCAGCATTCACTGGTTTGATACTAGCTTTTGCTGCCGCAGCTTGTCACTCCAGAGCTCACCAAAGATGTGTGCCTTGGTTGATCAAACAGAGCCAAGGAGACACATTTGTTTTGCCCACACTGAGTTTCCCATAGAACTAGCAAGTTGTACAGGGCATCATGCCCAAGGCTCTGCTTGGAGAGAGAACAGCAAATAAAACTAGTCATGTCTCCATTGCCCCAGAGGTGATAGAGGCTTGGTTTTGTTGTCTTTATCTTGATTGCAACATCGCTCTCTGGCACGGGTTCCCAGAAGCTGGGGGGTAGTTTGGGGATGAATCAGAAGTAACACGCTGGACAGCTCCCAGCCTTGTGAGTCTCTGGATCCCTGGGAGGTAGGGATGGGAGTGAGAAAACATTCGCTCCTCGCACCTGCAATATTCTGTGCACACCTGGAGCCTGTGCCCCGAGCCTCGGAAGCAGCTGCTCTGGGCTGGGTGTGAGGAGGAGGTACTGGCTGGGAGCTGCAGGAGGCCGTCACTCCCAGGAGGAACGAGCAGAATGCCACCTAAACTGTTGGTTCAACTTTTCTGCCCGGACGTGTTTCCTTTGATGCTTCAGAGCTCAGCACAGGACTCCTTTCTCCACCATTCCAGCTTCTAATGCTGGTCTGATTCGGTCAGGGGCAGAGCTTAACTGCATTATTTGTGTGTATTGGGATCAAGGGCATGAGTCCAGGGAAAGTCCTAGGAATAAAGTTGGGGTGTTGGAAACACTGTCAGGGGTCCAGCCTCAGTCTGCTGATCTCTGTGCTGTGCCACACATAAGTGAGATCCTGCAGATGGGGCCCTTACTCTGCCTGCACCGATGCCATTGTTTTAGAGGAGTGTTGATTCTCTTATGAGGAATGGGGAGAAAGCTGGGATTGTTTAAACCAGAGGAAAGAGTAGACCAACATAGAGATGTCTTCTGATTTTTTTTTCTTTTTGGGTCACACCTGGCGATGCACAGGGGTTACTCCTTGCTCTGCACTCAGGAGTTACTCCTGGTGGTGCTCAGGGGACCATATGGGATGCTGGGAATCGAACCCAGGTCGGCCGCGTGCAAGGCAAACGCCCTACCCGCTGTGCTATCTCTCCAGCCCCTGTCTTCTGATACTTAAAGGAGTATTCTATGTCAGAGGGAACAAAAAGCAGCAATAAGGGCGTGGGTCTTAGAATATGGACTTGGCAGAAGGGCAGGGTTCACATTAGCAGGGGAGTCTTTGTGGTAGAACCTATGGGTTTGGGCTGGGGATATAGCTCAGCAATAGAGAATTCACCATGCATGTGCGAAAGCCCAAGTTTGTGCCCCCAGAATCACACACCATTTTTTTTATCTTTTTCTTTTTTAGAGAAGGGAGAAGCTTCATATGTATATTATGATATATGAAGGCTTCATAATATATACGAAGCCTCTCTCTAAAAAAGAAAAGGATAAAGATTAAAAAAAATGGTGCTGGAGAGATAGCTTAACAGGTTGGAGTGCCCGCTTTGCATGCAGGAGAGACTTGGGTTTGATTCTGGTACTATAAAGTCCTGTGAGTATTCCTGGGTCTGACCCCCAAACCACAAAAGAGCACTTTCGCACTCTAGCACTGTCCTCCCGTTGTTCATCGATTTGCTCGAGTGGGTATCAGTAACGTCTCCAATGTGAGACTTTGCTGTTGCTGTTTTTGGCATATCAAATACGCCACGGGGAGCTTGCCAGGGTCTGCCGTGCGGGCGGGATACTCTTGGTAGCTTGCCGGGCTCTCGAACCTGAGTCGGCCGCGTGCAAGGCAAACGCCCTACCCGCTGTGCTATCGCTCCAGTGCTGTACTATGGCTTCAAAACCAAAAAAGAAAAGGAAAAAAAGAGCAAATGGGCGTTGAAGTCAGATATGGAAGCCTCTGTCACTGGGCGTTGCTGGCCGGTAGGAAATGTTGGCTCCAGAGTGCTGGAGGTGGTTCATGGACACGACTGCTGGAGCTTCCAGAAGTACGGGGAGATTGGGGGAGGTAGCCCATCCCCAACTCCATGAAAGCCTGGAGATTTCAGTCAAAAACCCCGCATACTTGAGTTTTTCAGCAGGTTAATTTCTTAGGTGTCCAGACACCTCAGCCTAGCTCAGCTCTCTCTCTCTCTTTACAGGGTCCAGAAACATCATGAAACCAGCAACTGTCTCCAATAAGCCTGTGGGGTGGGCAGGGGGAGGGGTGTTGGTAGGGTGCTGGATAATTCACAAGGCTCTTGGGGGGAACCGTTAGACACAAACTAGCTTCCTATATCTGCTTTGAGAAATCACCCTTCTCAGCAGTCATGGTGGTCTGCTGGTGGGGATGGGGGCACACCAGAGCACTACCTCAGGATGGCTTCGACCCAGTCAGAGCCAAAACGTTCGTTTTGCCCACATTGAGTTTTCCCATAGAACTAGCAAGTGGTCTAGGGCATCATGCCCACGGTTCTGCTTAGAGAGAGAACAGCAAATAAAACCTTAGCCATGTCTCCATGGCCCCAGAGGTGACAGAGGTAGCGCCTCAGTGTTCCAGGTTGTTGGAAGGCCTGGGTGAAGGCGTTGGCGGGGTTGGTTTCTTCTGAGTTTCCTTTCCTGGCCTTGCCCTGGGTTTCTCCTCCCTGCCTCCTCCTTATCCAGTCCTGCTGGTTTGTGGCACCCCTGCCCTCTCAGATAAGGCAGCAGACATTGGACCCAGGCCCACCCAGATGATCTCTTGAAACGTGTTTGGGGCTTCATCCAGCCACAACGAGGGCCCCTTCCTGACAGTCTTTGTAGGGAATTGTTGTGGTAGGGATGGAATTCGGGCCTCTGGTCCAGGTCCTGACGTCCCTGATCCCTGGACTAGTTCCCCAGGCTCAGTAAACCTCTTTCAAGATTTTGTCCCCAGTGGCCGGAGAAGGTAGTGCAGTGGATAGGGCACCTGGCATCCCCTTTGGTACCCTGAGCCCCGCAGGAGTGCATCCTGAATGCAGAGCCAGGAGCAACCCCTAGACATTGTGACCCATGTGACCCAGCCCCCAAAACAGCCCCATCCCGAGGAATGGGCTCCCGATTGGGGGCTGGGGGGTGGCCTCGCAGGCAGAGCGAGCGTGGTCAGCTTGTGGGCCGTCCGTGGCACTGACTCTCTTGTCTCCCATCTCTCTCCCTGCACAGGCGAGCGGCCCTTCCCCTGCACGTGGCCAGACTGCCTTAAAAAGTTCTCGCGCTCCGACGAGTTGACCCGCCACTACCGGACCCACACGGGGGAGAAGCAGTTCCGCTGCCCGCTGTGTGAGAAGCGCTTCATGCGGAGTGACCACCTCACCAAGCACGCCCGACGCCACACCGAGTTCCACCCCAGTATGATCAAGCGGTCGAAAAAGGCTCTGGCCAACCCCTTGTAAGGTGCTGCCCACGGAAGCCAGGGAGGGATGGACCCCAGATAGACGAACCGACTCCCCACAAGCGGACAGATGGACCCGTGAAAATCAAGCCCCAGCAGAGACGCCCCTCGACGGCCAGCCCGGCCCAGGCATCCTGGAGCCCGGGCCCTCTTCAGAGCCCCTCTCCCTGCATTGTTTTTTAAAAGCACATTGTAGCCTAAGATCAAAGTCCACACTTGGTCCCCTTACAGAGGCAGCTCTCAGTGTCTCTGACTTCTGGAGGGAAGGCAAAGGCTTTTTTTCTCTTTCTTTCACTCTCTCTCTCTCTCTCTCTCTCTCTCTCTCTCTCTCTCTGTCTCTCTCTCTGTCTCTCTCTCTCTGTCTCTCTCTCTTACTCTTTTACTCTCTCTCTCTCTCTCTTGTTCTCTCACTCTCTCCTCTCCTCTCTCCTCCCTTTCTCTCTCTCTCCTCCCCACTTTCCCTCTCTCTCCTTTATTCTGGGGGAGGGGTGATGGGGGGCCTGGGGGAGGGGAGTCCGTCCCAGACTGGGGTTAGAATTTCCAAGATTCAACACTGGTGTACATATGTCTGACGGGGTGCATTGGACCTGTGGCTCCCACAGCGATTCTGGGCACTTCCTGCTTGCCGTCTCAGAATTTTTTTTTTTTTCTTAGCCTTTCAATGTAACGACGAGTGTGCTTCCGTTTCTTTAGCAAAACCACTCTCTTGAATCACGTTAACGTTTGAGATTACAAACCGCCATAGCACAGCTGTCTTTATGCAAGCAAGAGCACACCTACTCCAGCATGATCTGTCATCTAAAGACTCGACAACCAACCAACCAACAAAAGTTACTTCTAGTCCATGGGTAAGCGGAGTCTGAGTTTCTACGAATGGAGACAAGCCTGGAAAAAGGTCACACTAAGTACAGAACTTTCCGAACCTTGCTTCGTATGAATTGTACTTTCTCGAGCATAAGCTGCACTTTTTATTTTCTAATGCAGAGGATGAATACGTTAAATACATGCTTTAAGGATAGTAGCAGACATTTTGTTTGGAACCATGTTATAATCTGCTTCTTTTATAGCGTCCCCATTTCCCTAAGAAATCATGGCAGAGATGTGAGGGCAGAATCTTACAACAGATGCTGAAGGAGAAGGAGGGTAGTGTTTCATTTTTTTTTTTACGTTAAAAAAACCAAGCAGTTAACTCTATTAACCGTTCCCAAATGTCCAATCCTTTAGTTTAGCATCCTCCGAACTGTACCACAACGCCACAATGGGAGCCGGTCTTGGAGTCTGTTGGGATTTCTTTGAATGGGTACCCAACAATCACGAGTTCTGGAAACACCTATTTTGGGGGGGGAGGGGGGAGAAGGTTTGCCGATCTCCATCCCGTGTCCCTACAAAACTCCCATATCAGGTGCAAGAGTTATGCAAAAGGAAAAGGGAGAGGAAATGTGAAAAGGAAAACTATATTCCTATCAGTCGTGAGTGCCAAGAGAAAATACCACAGTGACGGTGATCTCAGGGGAACCTCATCAACATCCTCCCGTTCGGAGAGAGGAAGCACATATAGAACATGGCAGGCTGAAAACACATCACTGTACCTTTTCCGCCCGGAGCCTCACCACTATCTGTCTTGTATCCAGGTGTCTAGTAATGGCCTAAACCACTACATCCACAATATGCCATGTACCTGAAAACTTCACTCTTGGCCTTTCCCAGAGGCCAGAAAAGAAACTTGAGTTTTCAGAGGCAAGGAAAAACCTCAAACAGGGGAGTCAGCAGTGATCGTGGGGGAAATGTTTACATTTATTTTTTTTCTTTCAGAAATAATACTTTCTGACAATTTTATCTGATCTGTCAAACAGGGAGCTCCGGTGCACTCGAGTTTATGCATGTGCTGGCAAATATATTGTGTCAACGTAGGGTGCTACCTCTCAGTGAACCCGTTAGCTCACTGACACACCTGCTCATTTCAGGTTCAGAAGCAGTGTAGACACCTGCGGCAGGCATGGGTCACAGCTGACTCCGACTTCCAATACAATAGCCATCACTAGCACGGTGTGTGTTTTGATTTTCTTCTCTTTTTTCTTCTTCTTTTTCTCGTCTAACCGACCTAGTTGCATTAGTGGTTCTATAAAGAGAACCTGCTTTTAACAGTAGGACTGGGCGCAGTCCGTGGGAGAAAACGAAAAGTGTTTTCTCACGGGAAAACACGTCAGGAAAAATAAAAGAACACTTTCTACCTCTGTTTCAGATTTTTGAAACGCTTATTTTAAACCAAATTTTAATTTCTGTGTCCAAAATGAGTTTTCAGGACATCTGTTCTTCCATATGAAATAGGTTCGGCTGCCTGTTTCTGTCTGATCTGCACTCACGGAATGGTTCTGCTTGTGGTCCTCTACGCGCTGCCTTTTAGTGAGTGAGGAACTTGGGGTTGCCTAGCAACCCCCAAACTTGTACAAACTCATTCTTCCCTCACCGAGAGAAACGAAGGAAAACCAAGCAAAGTCAGTGAAAGACAATCTTTGTAGTTTCTGAAGCAAATCTATACGTGGCTTTTGTCCAGCACTTAGATGGATGTCAATTCAGCAACTTCTTTAAAATCATGCACAATTTTCTCCCCACCCCCCCAGAGTTGCTACTTGCCTTTTCAAGTTGTTGAAGAACACACATTTGATATTCTCTTATATGTTAGAGTAATGTAACGTATCAACTCAAGGCTTTTTATTCTCGTGATGAATCCTGTTTCAAAATGTCACGAAACAGGAACCAGCATTCTAATTAGATTTACTCTAGCAAGATATGGTTCAAATAGGACTACTAGAGTTCGTTGAACACTAAAACTTTGAGACAAACTTTTTATATTAAAAAGACCATGGATTTAACTTATGAAAATCCAGATGCAGGATAGTAATTTTTGTTTACTTTTTTAACCAAACTCAAACTTTTGAAAGACTGTTGCAGGGGTTTCAAAAAGAAAGAGAAGTTGTTATATCTAATATTGTAAGTAGTTGACCTATTCTGGAAAATTAAATAGTTTTAGAGTTAAGAGAACTCCTCTCCTTGGTTAGGGAAGAAGAAAGCCCTTCACCAGTGTGGAATGATGCCCTGGCTTTAAGGTCTATAGCTCTACATCATGCTTCTTTTGAAAATTATATTTGGTAGTTAATAATCACAGAAAACTGGTTCTTTAGTCGGTTTGCAGGTAGACTTAGCACAGCACTCATCACTCTGGATAGACTGAAATGTTCTTTCACAACAGATGAATGATCTGTAACACTGTAAGATACTGATCTTTACAACTGTTTAATCAGTTTTATTTTTGTACAGTATTAGTGACCTAAGTTATTTTGCTGTCCCGTTTTTGTAAATCAAATGAAATTATAAAAGAGGATTCTGACAGTTGGTATTTTGTACATATGTATATATGTTGTCCAAATAAAGATAATAAAAACAATAAAGATTGGATTGTTCTAGCCACTGTGTATTGTCAAGGAGCCGACTTCGTGAACATTTCCTCATGGAAGTTTCTCCTTTGGCCTGGCCTCTCAGGCCTTGCTGAGGAGCACAGAGCTCTACCCGGGGCTTCCAACATGCCTTGTTTCGCAGAAACCGTGCAGGTTCACTGTTCACAGGCCTCTGAGGAGGTAGCATGGAGCTTGAAAACCATATTGCACTGCAGGGGAGCATGTGTGTTTTCAGGTCAGTCATTTAAAGAGGTTTATAAAGCTCCTAACAATGATTGGGTGTGCTAAGGACTGGTGAGAGGATATTAGTCGAAGGTCATGCTCTAGTTCCTGTAAGAACACACAAGTTGAGGTCTCAAAGGTGAGGATGATTGATGCTGATTGTAGGTGAACACCAAAGTGTATGTGTGAGGGGGTGGGAAGAGGAGAGAGACAGAGACAGAGAGAGGAGCAAAGACAGAGAGATAGAGAAACAGAGGGGAGGGAGAGAGAGAGAGAGAGAGAGAGAGAGGAGAGGAGAGTGAGCACCAGAGATACCTCAGTGGTTTGAGTGCAGAGGCTGTTTTGGTCTCCTGAACACTGTCAAGCACTGTCAGGAGCATCCCCTGAGCACAGAGCTGGGAGGAGCCCTTTGCCTCAGCACCATTCGGTGGGGCCCAAACAAAAGCCAAAAAGAAAGTTTCATATTCATAGATAAAAGTGAACTGGCTGTTGTAAGACTGTTGTCTGCCAGTCACAATGCCAAAGTCTATTTTCTCAGGTCTCTATAATGTAGAAACTTGATATCTATTTTTTTTTGTTGTTGTTGTTGTTGTTTGGGGTCACACCTGTCTGTGCTCAAAGGTTACTTCTGGCTTTGTACTCACTATTCGCTCCTGGTGATGCTCGGGGGACCATATAGGGGGCCAGGGATTGAACCTGGGTTTGACACATGCAAGGCAAGCGCTTACGCCTACCCAATGTCTATCTCTTCAGCCCCTGTATCTACATATTTTAGATGAAGAAATGGACGATCAGAAAACCTGGCAAGAGACATACCGTGTAAGTAGGAATGGTCTTTAAATCTGGGATCTGCTGAATCCAGCTCTCTTCTGTTGTGTGCCTGACTTGGCAACAGGAACATTCTGAAGGTCACTTTGATTTGACCCATTTTATTGAGCAGGTGTTTGTTCTCAGATTATGTCAGAAAAGCACCAACACCAGACAAGGTCTCTACATTCGAGGAGCTTCTGTGAGTGGAGGAGAAACATAATATTAACAAACATAATCCATGCCCTTTTAGAGCATTAGAATGAAGGTAGTGTGGGTCATGTGGTGGGTTGCTTGCTGCAGGGAAGATGGAGTTTTTCTAACTCCGTTTTCCTGAGGTGATTTGAAGTTGGAACCTGGATGACCCGGAGGAGTCAGGCCTTGCCAAGATGTTGCGAGTGAGAAGAGCCAGGAGCTCAGAGGAATGTGGTGAGGATTTTGGCATGAAGGAACTTGGAATGAAGGGAACTGAATCAAGATGGGAAGAGATGGGAAGCTGGTGTGGTGGCACAGGCCAGCTCACCAGATCCTGGCATTGCTGGTTATGATGAGGCATTTGATTTAGATTCTAAGGGCAGGGGGAATCCTTTGGAAGGTTTAAAACATTTTTTTTTTTTAACTATTCAGATGAAGGTTTTAGCAAGCTTTTTCTGGGAGCAAGGAGGAAATTGGACATTAAAGGGTGACAAAGTGGAGAGATCAGAGATAGTTGTGTTTGGACCAGGTCATCAGCATTGTGCTAAGAAGATAGAAATTGTTGGGCTGGAGCAATAGCACAGCGGGTGGGGCGTTGGCCTTGCACGCGGCTGACCCGGGTTTGATTCCCAGCATCCCATATGGTCCGCTGAGCACCAGCAGGAGTGATTCCTGAGTGCATGAGCCAGGAGTAACCCCTGTGCAATGCTGGGTGTGACCCAAAAAGGAAAAAAAAAAGATAGAAATTGTTGCAAAAATACATTGGACAAATAATCTTTTTGGCTTGGAGAATGTTTGGGAGGTCAGGGGCAGAGGATAAACTGTCCCAGGAACAACATGCACATTTCTGACCTGAGTCTCCAGTGGTGGTTAATGTTGCTTGCTGAGTTGACTGACAGGAGGGTGTTGCCTGAAGAAAAGATGCAGGCTCCTCTTTAAACTTGATGAGGTGGTACCTGTCAGCTCATGAACATAAAAAGGGAATGAGTATATATATATGTTAGTGTAGAGTTCAAGACAGATGGTTGCATTTGGAAGTTATAGTCATATATGATAGACAGAGAAGCCAGGAATGGATGAGGTCACCTAGGATAGAAGATGGGGAATTGATTAGTGGCTAGACAAAGGAGAAGGCAGAAAAGAAGCTGAGAAATAACAAGACAGACAAAACCTAGAAAATTTGTTCAGAAACTTAGAAAATTGCCTGGATGTCAGAACAAGGGCAGAGGGGACAGCAGCACATTAGACAACTGTGTTGAATGGCACTGGGTTTGGTAAGACATCACCAAAAAAGCCCACTGTATTTAGGAATCAGGTTAATTGACACATTAAAACCATCTCTTTGGAATAGTAGGCACCAGTATCTACTTGGGTAAGGAGAGGAATAATCAGGAGGTGAAAAATCAGTAGGAAAAATATCAATTCTTGAACAAATTGTAGACAATGAAATGTGCATCATCTTTGATCTATACAGACATGTTTGAAATACAGGAAAAGCTAGCATATAATGGAGACACAAAATAAGAAATAAGGGAAATAGAATCTACTTGTATGCTACCTTATTTGAAGTTGTATTTTTAATTTGTTCAGAAAACAATTATGTATGTGTGTATGTATATTTCACTAGAGGTTCACCTAACATCCAAATAAAGTGGTTTAACAAAGTGAATGATAAATATGGCAGAGGTCAATAAAAGTAATTCAGATATTTGAAAAAAACATAATCTAAGGAGAAAATAAGAGGAAATTACTTGATTTGTCTTTTTTTTTTCTTTTGCTTTTTGGGTCACATCCAGCATTGCACAGGGGTTATTCCTGGCTCATGCACTCCTGGCAGTGCTAGGGGTACCATAAGGGATGCTGGGAATCGAACCCGGGTCGGCAGCGTGCAAGGCATATGCCCTACCCACTGTGCTATCGCTCCAGCCCCTTTGTATCTTTGTAGAAGATACAACACTGCCTGTTAACAGTTCCTCAAAATAATGAAAAAAATCAGGAGAATTTAATGAAAATCATATTCAAAAAATAGATTATCCCAGTAGACATATTTTTCATACATATGGAATCTGTTCAAAACAAGATATAATAAGACTATAAATAATGTATTGTAGAATGCATTTTCTAACCACAAGGCAATAAAGTGAACAATTTACAAAAATATGTATTTTTAAATACTAGACATTGAAACTTTACATCAAAGAGAACATACAAATTATAACCACAGTTTAAGAAAGAAGAACAGGACACCATATAGCTAAAATATACTCCAAAACTGTACTCAGGGAAAAATTCAAAACCCTACATGCTTTTATTATCCATGAACAAGCATAAATAAGCCAAGTGATCAATTGAAGAAGCCAGAGAGTGAACAAAATCTAGAAGACATAAACAAAGAATAAAGTGGGACTGACATATAAATCAAGAGGAAGATCTTCTAGAAGTCAATGAAACAGTCACTTGACAAATTAAAATGGGGGGGGAGAAATTTAAATGTGTGATCTTGTGTGTGTTTATATATATTTTGGCTTGTACTGGTTGGTGCTGAGGGCTTACTCCTGGCTTACTACTGGTTCAGGGGGTGCCAGATATCTCAGGTGAAACACGTGCAAGGCAAGTGCCTTACCACTGTATGATCCAGTCCCTAAATGTGCAAATCTTACGAATGGATACATATTCTCTATACAAGCTAATACTTATTTATACAAGCTAATACTTATTTAGCTTGTATAGTTAATATCTAGCAAAATTGTTACAAGCTACTAGTTTTTTTTTTTTTTTTTTTTTGCTTTTTGGGTCACACCCGGTGATGCTCAGGGTTTACTCCTGGCTCATGCACTCAGGAATCACTCCTGGCGGTGCTCGGGGGACCATATGGGATGCTGGGAATCAAACCTGGGTCGGCCATGTTGGGTGTGTGCAAGGCAAACGCCCTACCCGCTGTGCTATTGCTCCAGCCCCACAAGCTACTAGTTTTGGACACTTTGATCAAATGATTCTTTTAAGAAAAAACAAAGTTGATAGATATTATATTAGTATAGACCAGAACTGTAAAATACTTAAGCAAATATCAGAATTGCAGCTTCAAGTTATTTTATAAGCAAACCTTTAAGGAGCCAACAGGTTTAAAATTATACTTTAAGCATACAAATTACTTGTATTCATAATATTCTTTGGGGATGGAGGAAGGGTTTAGGTCACAACCAGTAGTGCTGAGTCTACTTCCAACTTGCTCAAGAGTCGCTCCTGGTGGTGCTTAGGGGAACGTGTGATACCTGGGCCTTTTTCATGCTCAGTCTCTCCTGCCCTGTTCTTACTGTTGTTCCTATTTAAAAGCCAGTCCTTGAGAGTATCTAGCCCGCACAGCAGAGCCTGGCAAGCTCCCCGTGACGTATTCGATATGCCAAACACAGTAACAACAAAGTCTCCAATGGAGACGTTACTGGGCCCGCTCGAGCAAATCGACGAACAATGGGAGGGCCTTTACTTTTACCTTACCTTGAGGGGGCCAGAGAGATAGTACAATGGGCAGGGAGCTTACATTGCATTAGGCTAACCAGGTTCTATCCCTGGCATCCCCTCTGGTCCCCCATGCACCTCCAGGAGTGATTTCTGAGTGCAGAGCTAGGAGTAACTCCTGAGCACTGCCAAGTGTGGTCCATAAAACAAAAATTAAATTTAAAAATTTAGTCCTGGGTTAAGACTAGAGCTCCCAGGGCTAAAGTTTGTGCCCGGAATATAGAGGCTCTGAATTCCTTACATTCTTGGTACTGCATGGTT